CAATTCCGAAGATTATTTTTTATCACGTCTAAAAAATTTTCGTAAGAAAAAGCAATAAAAAACAAAACCGAATCACAATTGTACAACACAACAGAAAATATTTATATATTATTGAAAGTTCGTTGTCATGATCGTGTTATACTGTCCTTTCCTTTCCCTTTCCTTCCCCTTTTCCCTAGAAAAGCAATTTAAAATTGATTTCTCGATAGCGATATCAGAAAGTTAGATGAAATCGTGTTAAGTAGTTTTAATTACTTAGAAAACTTGGACAGCGCTAAGAAGTTTCCATGTCGCTCAACAGCGAAGTGGATGCAACTAGGAACACCTCTTCAGAATTCTTTATCCTTTTGCACTTATACTACCACATAAATTCCTTCTTTTACAATACTCTTAAGTACCCACCACCTGCATCGCAGCAATAATCTTGTCTTCAAGCCAACTAATTACACGTTCATTCAATCCATAAGGAGATTCTAGGAAAATTGAAAAAATTTATTACTATTGCAAGCTGAGCTGATGTGTTTTCAATGATAATATCTACTCTCCTACAATATGGCCAATATTTTTTAAGGTTGTCAGTAATAATGAAAAACTAATAATTATTAATTTTCTTCAATAATAAATATCAATTATTGCTAATTGTAAAAGACAAAATTATATTCTAAAGGATTTATCTAATCGTAATGCTATTATCAATCATATAATTGTCTTTCTAATATTTTAGAATTTATTACACCTCATGTCTTGTAATATTTGCAATTTTTTCTCAATACGTTGTTTTCTCTGAGTGACTCAAGAATTGTTTTCAAAAAGGTAATTGATCGTGATTCCATTCGTCGAATTTTTTGTTGCACAATTTTTATCTATTTATTTATTTTTAATAAATGTTGGTTGTGACACAATTTTTTTAAGAAGATCTTTTTCAGGAGAATCATGTTACTTTTTGGTGAAACATTTGTAAATTAATCAACAACTAAAACATTTTTAATGTAATATGTAAACAATTTTAATTTTAGAAAACTATAGTATACATATTAAATATTTTTTACAATGACTACATCTAGGAATAAGGCTCTGTCTATTTTGACAGTTATACTAGAGCTTGATGCAATAATTGTATAGCATTTTAAAATATTCGCAATCACACATTCTAAATAAGGAAACAAAAGAAATGTATAAAACAAAATGTAAGTTAAATTAATTGTATTATCTTGAAAATCATATACAATTATATAAACCAGGGTTGGGTTATTTTATAAAAGTAACGTCTAGGTCTTGAAGATCTGTTCGGATATGACGCTATCCAGATATACTACACTTATCCGGATTACGAATAAATATGATATGCTTCAAATTCGAGTTTAGATCTAGAATTCTCTAAAATATCCGAATAATAGAATTTAGATCCGATATTTCGAGTTAGATTTATTTTATTTCTTTTTTTTATTTCTATTTAATAAATATTTTATTGTTATAATATTAAATAACTTTTGGAAGCAAAAGTTTTGCTTTATGCAAAACAAATGTAGTTGTCTTTCTTTATATGATTTTAAATATTCAATTTTTCTACTATCTTATTCTTTTTAAACCAATTTTATGGTTACAGCTTTCTTTTTTAATCAAATTAAATTTTATTAATTTTCACTTTAATAATTTAATTAATTAATAATTTTAATAATGAAAATATAGTTTATATTAAAATATATGTATGTAAAATAAATATTCAGTTTTTATTATTTAAAAAATATTTTACAATTAAAATTAGGCACATATCTTATATCAAATATTTCGGCGTTTTCTCTTCGGATACATAATATATGTATATCTAAATTCAAATTCGGATCCGAATTCAGATCCGGATCTAAATAATTTGGATACCTGAATTGCATGAATAATTCGAATGAGATTTTGAATTTATGAATCGAAACCGATCTTGGATATTCGAATATTTAGAATTCCTAAACTAACATCGTTAACGCGATGCTAAAATTACCGACATTACAGTTCTATGAATATCTCCGAATTGATTGAACGGAATTGAAAATCCTTTCACAGGATTGAAATAGACATGAAATGTAATAGTGGGACGAAGAAATTTGTAATAAATACGAAAAAAAAATTTTAAATAATTTTTTTTAGCACTCAATTCTCTTTCCAGTAGTATATGTTCTAAGGGGGAATCCGAAAGAGAAGAACGAAGAATTGAAATTAAACGTTAAGTTAGGTTAAAGCCACAGTGTGGCTAAACTGTTTGCACACAGCTGTAATGACTTTAACCGCTTTAACCTAATTTTTTAATCCCTTTCTTTCAGGTTTCCTTCTCACAGATATAAACTTAGTACGCATGTGCGAACGAGAGAACTCGCACTTCAACTTGAGTAAAAAGAAACAGGAGGGAATATATCGGTAGTGGGGGATAGGCTGATCCGCGGACGGAATACGTCTTGGCAGCCATTTTGAGCAATCACTTTTTATGTTAATATATCACTTCCGTCCGCTTGCTCAGAATCCTATCACAGTATGAAGAATAAGGAGACGTAACTAGATAGGCTGGAGGGAAAAAAGTTGGTCACAGAAAATGTTCCGTGTACTGCCAGGTTCGCTGAACGGAATAACTTGCAACCTTTCAGTATATAGACATGGAGGTGGAATGTTAGCTCGAAAACTGTATCCAAGATGTGTGTGAGAGAGAAAGGTAGACGAGTAATATTCGTTCTCTCTGCGCATGCGTCGATCATTCGACAGACAGAGAGGACAAAGTATCACGTGGTATCGCTCGTATACCTTTCTCTCCCGCACTCCTTGCCACTCTTGGACTCACTTGCGACTTATAAAGAACAAAAGCATTCCACCTCCATGTATTATATACTCAAAGCTTGCAACATTTCGTCGCCATATTAAATATTTATATACGTATGTACACTCGCTCAAAGAAAGGTTGCAACACTTTTTTAAATCGTTTTTGGAACACAGTCTGTTTGCCGAGTGATTGGTTCCTACCAATGGATCTAACCAATTAAGTTCACGCTCCACGAGAAAACTGTATTCCAAAACCCATCAAAATAAAAAATGCAATCTTTCTGTGACCGAGTGTACACTCGTGGACAAAGTAGTTGCAACACTTTTTTTTTATCGATTTCGAAACTCACTAATATTTTGCCACGATTGGTGTACTATCTTTAGTCTTTTTTTTTTAACGTGGAGGAAACCTTCAGAAGGCGCCCCGGTGTCTGCGAACCGGGGAGTGTTGGATTCGATGGGTCCTCACAACCTAGGTTGCTCATCAACGCGACCTAACTAAAACCATCCACGGAATATATATATATATATATATATA